AGTATTCAAAATAGCTAGATGTTTTTAATAGCAAATCTTAGGTCGCATAAAAAAGTGCAAGAAAACCGATGTAATAAGAAGTGCTGTAGAGGAAAAGCCATTACTCGATACATCTTGCTATTTTGAATAGTTAATTAAAACACTGATTACCAACATAACACAAATGTTAATGAAATGATTTTGAAATGAGACTGATGAATTAATTGCTATACAATACACAGCACTCAATGTATTATTTCAAACTGGGCCAATTGATGGTTTTATATTTGTTTAATCAAGTATTATATATTCTAAATTAAATTATTACAAGTAATCACCAGAAATTTGATTACCAGTGGTTTCCTGTTGAACTTGGCCAACCCTCTACGGTTAAGTTAACTTAATGACCCACTTATTTGATTATTAGTGCTTTTGCTTCACATATCACACATGATAAACTCCTTTGAAATCAGTGTATTATTATTATAACACTTTAAACTTCATAATTTTTCTTGCCAAAAATTGTTTTGCCATAGTTTGCACATTTTTATATATTTAACAGTACCGTAAAATCTGTATTAGAAGCTGCATCCCTAATAGAAGTCCCACCCATTCCTTTTGAATAATTGATAATCAAAAATTCATCATTTCTCATAAGTGTAGATGCTCTAATAGAAGCAGCATCCCCTCTGTTGCATTGTACCATTTTAATAGAAGCCGGGGCTTCTAATACAGATTTTACAGTAATTTCCTGTTAATTGTGGACAAGATGAACATAATTTCGTATTGATATACTAGTAGTTCTTCATCAACAAACGTGAAAACAAAATTATTTTGTGAAATGTGACTTTGGTCGAATTATGTGCTCAAAAGGTGAACAGACAACTAATGAGAAATTGATCAACTTACCATTTCTTCCCTAATAGAATAATCAGCCGTTTCCAGATAGTTTAACATCTCAGAAACAATCTCTTCAACATTGCCTTTATCGCACATAGCATAAAGCAGGTCTACCGCTCGCTGACGGACACTAACATCACGTTCCGTCTAATAGAGACACAGAATAAACCACAATTAACACACAATACTACCACTGATTGACTAAAGGATTATCCAGTTCAGTGAGCAATTCTTTTTTCCACTCATCAAAAAGTGGGATTATTAACGCCAATGGACATTTCACAGCAAAAGATTTAAAAGGAAGTAATACAATCACACAACTTGCGTTGATTTGCACTTGTGCCGTCGTAGTATGTAATCAAATCATCTTAGCCACTCATCATGCTGTATCTACCCAGCATATAATAAGGTGGTATTTTGAATTTAATTCCAATTTTTCACACAATTATGCATAAGAATACAGATTTAATTTAATATTGTGGAGGTCGCGTTTTTAATTCAATTTCAGAGTAAACATGATCATCTTATGTTCTGTATAAATAATTTTTCTTTTCTTTTTTTTTAAATTGGTTTAGATGTAAAGGAGCTGAAGGCACAATATTGAGACAGTAAAACAACACAAGTGTGCTTCAACTCTCTAGGAATGAACGATTCAAACTGCTCTAACTCACATCACATTTAAGGTTGTTTGCGGACGTTTGACCATACGAGCCAAAAAACTGTCACATTTATTTGTTTCAAATATTGCATAGTTGATTTAGACAAATGATTTTTAGGCTTTTTTTAAATGGTGCCCAATATTTTTTTTGGACAAACAGTCTAAAATATGCAAAAATGAGTCTTTTTTTCAAAATTACTATAAAATAGTATTTCCCAATAACTGAAAAAAAACTAGAAGGAACCTATTTTATACATGTAACTATATATTATTTATCACCATATGTATTCTAAATTTTTGAGATATGACACAACCTTTTTAACCATAGAAACTAATAATGAGTGACTCAAAAAATCACTTTTTTCATGAATACTAAACATAATTTTTGTGTAAAAACAGTTTGGTGATGATAAATTTTATTCTGGATTTTGTGGGCAACAGCATAAAATAAAATAAAATCATAAGAAAAAAGAGAAGTTTTAATGATAGTCAACTACCTTAGCATCTAGAACATCAGTATTCACACAGTGCAACCCAAGCCTACCTTAAGAGCTGTGATCACAGTTTCTTGATGTTTTTTCACAGCTTCACGTGAGAACTCCGATGATGCCAAGAGACACATGCTTTCTAAAGCGAGGTACCTGAAAAACACAGTCAGTGGCATAATTAACAGAGACATGTCATGAAAAGTGAATCTTGTAATCATGTATTAACAGGAAGTGGTTAATGTTAGATAACTAAGGCTCCACAATTGTCACGAAAAATTTTTTTCAGACAGGTACTATTGCCAGAAGGGAAGAGGGGCTTATTGGGAAATTTCGAATGCAATTGAGGAATTTGTTATGATTTGACTACCGTAATATAAAATGAAATAACTATTCTATTCAAACGGTTCAGAATTAACAGCAGAATTTTGGCAGTGAAATAGTTGCCACATGATTTATCTCTATTTGTGGAATATCATGCAGCATAAATATAATATGTAGTACAAAATGCATGGAACAGAAATTATTGTAATCTTACAAAGCTACAGGCATTCTCTACTTAATGCATAATGTACATGTTCATTCAATTAGAGTACCTTGATATATGTACCTTGTTGATGATACCCTAACGCATGTTATTGCATGTTCCATACCTTAAAGTATTTCAGTATCTTTCTGCCACATCATATCGCGTGTTACGTAATTAGTCTAAGCTTTGTGTTAGAAATGTTCATGATTGGATGATACAAGGGTATTCGTGAGAACAAATTTTGCCAAAGTAACTGATTATTACGATCCAAAATGAGTGAAAGTTTCATCATTTTCCCTAATCATAAATTTAAAAAATTTGTCACTCACATAATAGACCTCATGCATGACCATCAAAAGGTCACACATCTTGGTACTTTGCATGACCATCAAAAGGTCACACATCCTGGTACTTTGCATGACCGTCAAAAGGTCACACATCCTGGTATTTTGCATGACCATCAAAAGTTCACACATCCTGGTACTTTGCATGACCATCAAAAGTTCACACATCCTGGTACTTTGCACGACCATCAAAAGGTCACACATCCTGGTACTTTGCATGACCATCAAAAGGTCACACATCCTGGTACTTTGCACAACCATCAAAAGGTCACACATCTTGGTACTTTGCACGACCATCAAAAGGTCACACATCCTGGTATTTTCTGGCGATAAAATTGTCAATTTTTTTTTCACAAAGTACAAGTTGTCGTTGATGTTTGAAAACAAACACAGCAAAAAGTGACATAGTGAGTGTGACCTTTAGATTTCATGCATACTTCATATTACAGTGGTTTACAGTTATCTCAACCATGTATATTTCTCACTTAAAACACATTTGCATTATATAGTCCTACAACACTGCAACTAAATAGTTATGATGAAAGAGCCCAAAACAATGCAATCTGCATTTGTGTTATTCTCAAAATTTACGAAATCATTTATTCTGCACGCATGAAAAATACTTGAGACCTAGTTTTTATTCATATTTTCACACAGTGATAACTTACCTAAGGTTGGTTTCCCTGTGTTGTAGAAACTGGCCCAACTGATTACATGCACGTACCAACAGATTTGGCTCACTGTCAAAACAAGAGATGGCTTAAGTTTGAAAGTTACCACCATAGTTACAGTAGGAAGTTAACACATGGCCTGCTAACGGCCATTTTTACCATTGATTTCCATGGAGGTTTTTTAAAAGGTTAAGTGGGACTAATAGTACCATAAAATCTGTATTAGAAGCTGCACCCATTCTTTTTGAACAATTAGGAACCAAACATTCTTTATTTCTGATATGTGTAGATGTTCTAATAGGAGCTGCATTCCTTCTGTTGCAATGTACCATTTTAATAGAAGCCACAGCTTCAAATACAGATTTTACAGTATGTGGTGTTACTGAGCTAACATCCTGCATGAAATTCTGCATGCCTCTAGATGAGGATTCGGCCACATTAGAATAATAGTCTTATGCTGCAGTATATTTTATGACTGTTCATTATGTGTGGTGTACAAATGTTGACACTTGCATTGCTACCACAGCAATGACTGACAAAACACTTGACACATAATGGATATGACACAATAATAAGCTAGACAATTAATATCATCTAATTGCCCCAATTTTTGCATTGGTTCTTTGGCGAAAATATGTTAAATATTGCGAATGTGAAAATTAGCTTCATTGTGATTATTGAGAATGATCATGAGTGTTATAGCAAAGTGTTCAACACTGGAATAATTGCAGATTATTGCTGAGGATTCAGAGTTGCTTTCTGTGTCAAACAAACATGCAGAGTAAAAACGTATAGTGTGGATAGAATACTACAAAATATCACTGCAGGTAAAACAATAAGACCATGAATATCACATTGTTCATATGATAATAATTAAAATCACAGCGTAACTTACCAGTCATGGTGAATGATGAGGTTGATAGCTTCAAATAATACAGAATTTTTCGCATTCGAGTGCTGAACTTTCTTGGATTTTGGCGGCTCCTAAAAAACAATCAAATGGCCATTTTAACCATAACACACTTTCTAATTTTACATAGACATAGTAACTTTAGTTTGATCAGCAGTTGTTTTTCTTGTAAGGGCAAACTTCTTGGGCATTGAGAAATTGCCTTCAATGCCACCAAACTATATAGGACATTGAGATACTGAGTGAACATTGGCCAAACTTCTAACTTAACTTTTCTACCACTAATAGATCTGGGTTCCCCTTTAATACACTGCTGTAGATGATAGCAATTTGCATAAATACACTCAAAACATTCATCATAATATTTGAATAGTATCTATAAGGGCAAATAAATTGCACAGATTGTCGATCATCTCAACAACTTTGATTTTAAAGAATATTATTACAAACTTCTAAAAGCACAAGTATTTCTCCAAACTAAAGTAGTTTCATTATATTGTATATGGCTAATGGCTAAACATAATGAAACTTTTTATGGCTAATGGGTATACATAACGACTATACATGGCTAATGGGTATACATAACGGCTATACATGGCTAATGGGTATACATAACGACTATACATGGCTAATGGGTATACATAACGGCTATACATGGCTTATGGGTATACATAACGGCTATACATGGCT